TGATACCAAGGGATCAAATAGAAAATAAATGTTTAGAAAATAATGATGGCAATATATGTACAAATATGCTTGATACAATTGATGTATAGATTGTTATAAGAGCTGTAACAGCCCCCAATAAAATTATTTTTTAGTAAAAGAAAGAAAATGATGATGGCAACATATGTACAAATGTGCTTGACACAGGGGATGTATGTATAGACTGTGATAAGAGCTGTATGAGTTCCCAATAAAATGATTTTCTTTAAAATTTCAAAAGCATGGTCTCAAAATAGACTGGCCTCTGTCCAGCCCACACAGGAGCAGTCTAAGAGGGAGAGAGAGAGAGAGAGAGAGAGAGAGAGCCAGAGAATGGCATCCTGGCCAACCAAGCTTTGAGGAGAACATTCCCACTTGGAGTAGCCAATGCACAGAAAGGACTGTAGGGTCAGCCTGACCAGGAGACATGATGTCCCTTTACTGACCATCCATGCTACGGGGGTGGGGGCAGCCGCAACACTGGAGACACACTGGAGGGAATTGCGCTGGTCTGACCCTCCCACACCAGGGTGTAACACAAAGGGAGTGCAACAGACCAGCAAGGGGAGGAAAGCAAAATGTCCTGAGGAATTCTGAAAATAGACTTCTGACCCAGGGGGCAGGGTTTCACACTGCATTAGACCCAATCAAAAAACAATCATAAGGGTCAGCAGGCAGACCTGGAATTATTGACAGGCTATTTTTTTTCATGTGTGTCTATATAAGATAGGCAGGTTAAACAATCCTGAGGTGAAAAGAATGGGGCCAATGTTTCCAGGGGGACAGGGGAGAAAAGGAAGTATGGGAAAAATTGGTTGGAGGGGGGACAACAAAACCAGGGACAAGGGAATAACAAGAGATCTAAAATCAATAGTGAAGAGGGCACAGACTGCCTGGTGGAGTTTGATCACATGCTATGTAGCTGAGAGGAAGTACAGCAAGCTGAATGAAGGTAAAAAATGATAGTGGGACAGGAATGAAATTAAAAGGAAATAGAGGAAAGAACTAGGAGGCAAAATACATTTATAGATGTATAAACATAGGTATGTACATATGTAAATATATTAATATATGATGATAGGGATATAGATCTATGTACATATATTTATAGGTAAAGTATTATGGTAGCAGATGGACATTTGGCCTCTACTCAAGTCCTTCCTCAATAAAGAACACTTTGTTCTTTTTTTTTTTAAATAATTTTATTGGGGCTCGTACAACTCTTATCCCAATCCATACATACATCTATTGTGTAAAGCACATCTGTACATTCATTGCCCTCATCATTCTCAAAACATTTGCTCTCCACTTAAGCCCTTGGCATCAGCTCCTCATTTTTCCCCTCCCTTCCTGCTCCCCTCTCCCTCATGAACCCTTGATAATTTATAAATTATTATTTTGTCATATCTTATACTGTCCAACGTCTCCCTTCACCCACTTTTCTGTTGTCTGTCCCCCAGGGAGGAGGTTATATGTAGATCCCTGTAATCGGTTCCCCCTTTCTACCCCACCCTCTCTCCACCCTCCTGGTATGGCCACTCTCAACACTAGTCCTGAAGCGATCATCCGTCCTGGATTCCCTATGTTTCCAGTTCCTAGCTGTACCAGTGTACATCCTCTGGTCTAGCCAGATTTGTAAGGTAGAATTGGGATTATGATGATGGGGGGAGGAAGCATTAAAGAACTAGAGGAAAGTTGTATGTTTCATCTTGAGCACTTTGTTCCAATAACCTGACATTCTGTGATGCTCACCTTCCGCACATGATTGCTGAAGACAAAATGGGCGCATAAGCTAATGTGGTGAAGAAATCTGATGGTGCCTGGCTATTACAAGATATAGTTTCTGGGGTCTTAATGGCTTGAAGTTAAACAAGCGGCCACCTAGCAGGGAAGTAACAAGGCCTACATGGAAGAAGCACATCAACCGTGTGATCACAGGCTGTTGACAGGATCAGGTATCATAAGTCAGAAGACCTCAAAAGCCAACCATTTCAATGCCAACGAGGGGGGTCAGAATAGACACCCAAAGCCCATTTGTAGACAATTGAAGATCCCCTCAAAGAAGGGTCACAAGGAAGGGACGAGTCAGCCAGGGTTCAGTATAGCACTGATGAAGCACATATAATTCTTCTAGTTATTAAATGCCCCTTCCCCCAATATCATGACCCCAGTTCTACCTTACACATTTGGCTAGACCGGCGCTGTACACTGGTACAGGTAGGAGCCCTCGACACACAGAATCCAGGACAGACAATCCCCTTGGGACCAATAATGAGAGTAGTGATACTATGAAGAGAGGGGGTAAAATAGGGGGAGAAGGGGAAGAAATGGGGAACTGGTAGCAATGATCGATGTACAACAAACCCCAGATCCTTGGGGGATGAACAACAGAATTGTGGGTGAAGGGAGACAGCAGACAGTGTAAAATATGAAAATAAAAATAATTTATAAATGATCAAGGGTTCACGAGGGTAGGAGGAGAAAATAGAGGATCTGATACCAAGGGCTCAAGTAAGGGACAAGTAAAGAAAAAAAGAGGAGAGAATCAGCTGCATTTGACTCTCCATTCTTTGAACTACAAAAGTGCACTAATTCTTAAATAAGAGACAACAGAATATAAGAATTGTGAACAGAGTATTTTATTGACGCCGTTCTTTTGCAATGCGGTTCTGCTTGCCCTATAAAAGTTCCTTTTAAAAAAATTAATGTTATAACTGACTATTAAAAACATTTTAGTTCTCCTTTGAAGAGGTATAATTTCCTGAAAACTTCCAGTTCCTGATCTTTGCCCTGGTTGTTATGTTTGCTACTTCCAACAAACAACATTACAGGGCAGACAACCAAAACCAATCCCGGAAATAGCTTTAGGAGATACAATAACACACCTAGTACATGAGAGGGATTTGTCCCCAGGTCTACAAAGCCCATGGCTTTGACACGTTTTCATGCCAAATTTTATGATATTGCTTTCATGGCTGAACCAACCAAGCACATTTACTGATCCACAGACATCTAAGAGGTGAAGGCAAATGGGTCCAAATAATACTGTGCCGTTGTTTTCAAAGCAGTCCACGTTTCACGAGCCTGCAGCAAAGAAAACAGAAGTCATGGTCTCTGAATCTCCCGAACACCAATTACAACAATTAGTCGGATTAATATGCAGATATTCCTGATGGAATAATACTGAAGAGGGTGTGGTTTTCATACTTGCAGTGTCCTATTTAAGTCAATGCTAAATGTGTCATCTTGCTACATATTTTCCAGTTGATCACACTAGTCTACAGTTATAGGCAAGAGCATTCTTGAAAATGACAACATTCCATGATCAACACACAGTCTACTAGCCGATGTAACTATTTAAATTGACTAATAAACAAAGTATTATTTTAATACTTCTAAATTATGCCTTTCGAAGAAGAGTCATAAAATCGATGCATTATTCAAGCTGATCGTTTTCATCAGTAAATGCTCAGCAGAAACAAGCTGATCCTGGAAGACCACCCGTTAATTATCACACAGGTAGAGCAAGGGTAGGACTGAGCCCCTCGAAAGCAAGTGTGTCCAATTTTTAAAAAATTTTGTCTTTATATGATCCTTATATCTGGCGATGTGAAAGCTTGGTAGCTGTTAAAAGAAGGAAAGAATGACTGTAGTAGAACATGAGAGAGAGAGAGAGAAAGAGAGAGAGAGAGAGACAATGACTAAGAGAATTAATTATATAGTTTGAAAAATATGTTATGAGAAGAATCATGAATTATTGATATCCTCAAATAATTTAGTAACCTTGTTTGGGTCAGAGTATTCTTTTCTTCCTTAAGAAAGGCAAGCATGCAATAAAATGTGATCATGCACGTTTCTTTTCTATTTCTCCTTTAGTTGGAGTGAACCTGAGTAGGAAAATACACAAAAGGCAAGCAAATGAAGGAGTCATCGTGAAGGTTTATATCATCACCCCAGAGGGAAATTAGAAACTGGATAAACGCAAGTGAACGAAAAGGCCACCACTCTTCATCCATCCACCTAAGCAAGCATGTCATAATCTACTGAATCTTAACTACAAACGAGTTATTTTTCTAGGTTCAAAAAAATAATGACCTTGATGCACAAGACAGCAACTGGACCCTTGAGGTCTAGATAAGACGTGTGCACCAAAGCTATCATTCTGGAGTGCTGTTTCAAGAATCATTCACATAGGAACAGCATGGACATAGGAGGGGAAAGAAGAGCGAACACCTCTGGAGAAGGAAAAAGTGTCCCAGAGGGTGTTCTGAACTGAGTCTTTGAGGACGAGGTAGGATTTCCTAGGAAAAGGAGACTTCACGCAGCCGGAGGGGGAAACTCAGGGCTGGGCTGGTGTGTTAATGTCAGGTGATGTCAATAGTAAAAAGACCAAAGGCATGTTTTCAAATGCAGATACCTGATCAGGCAGTGTGTCTCCCCACACATTCGGACTGTGCTCTGGGTCCCAGTAATCCTGCAAGTATATGTGCCTTTTGAGATGTAGGAATTGGTTTGCTGGGTCCTCGAAGGCAAAAGGTGCTCCCAGGGCACCTGTAATTCAGAGGTAAGGAGGAGAACTTCAGTTAGCTCATCATTTCCACTGCTCTTAAGGAGTGGCTGGAGGTTTCAAATTACTAACCATGCGGATCACAGTGAATGCATAACCGTATCCCCAAGTCTTCCTTCTTGTATGCAAAGGGGAATAATAATAAAAATAATAATGAAGATAGGATTGTTATGAGGAATGGATAAATTAATGTACATAAGCCACTGGCTGGTAAACGATGAAGAATCAGTCAGCAATCTTAATTTTGCTTTTCCAGCCCTCAAAAATAGAACATATATTTCAGCCTGAAGTGACAAGTGCCATGTCTAAGGTTTGTATGAATATTAAATAAAGTAATTCTCTCAATTCTGATACTGTGAGTTAAATGATCAGTATTGATAAATTCATCATGAAATTGAATTAGCTTGTGTTTTGTGTTTCTTTGTACAATTATGCTTGATCTAATCGAATGAAAGATTGTTATAATATCCATAAAAGCTTCCAAAAATGATTTTAAAAAAGAAAATATGCTAATGGTTTCAAAAATTCATAGTTTTCAGAATTTTGATATGTTAAGCTCATATTGTGAATTCATATCTAAATACAACATAATGTGTCAGAGTTGTAACTTATTAATATAAAGGGAGAATATAATCTGGACCTAGATGTGGTAATGATATAATCTGCCAGTTGCTTGTGATAAAAAAGTATTTATCAGTTAACACCTTAATTTTACACTTAACACGGCTAAATTGTAAATATGAGGGTGCTTTAAAAAGGTTTGTGTAAAGTGGAAACTACAGATAATGGATTTTTCCCATGTACATTTTGAAGTCTCTATGCATATAGGATATATATAATTTCTACAATTTAAAATATATTTATTCAACAATTTAATTGTAATGCATAAAAATTCCACAGTCTCATTATCAATAGGCCTCAATCAGTCATACAAAAGGTTATACTCTAGCGTCTTGTTAGGAAGGTTGACAATTTAAGTCTGCTTAGAGATCCCAATGAAGAAAGTCTCTGGTGGCCTCTACCTGAAAAATATTAGCTGATTTTAACTAATTAATTAATTTTAATTGAAAAAACTTCCTGTGGAACACAGTTCTACTTTAACACACAGGGATGGCCATGAACCAGACCCAAATGGATGGCAATTGTTTTTGACCGTTTGATCTATTAACCAATACTCTTTATGGAGAGTTACAACAATTGGAAGACATGAAATCAGTTCCAGGAAGATGGTGCCAAAGGAGACTATGCTACTTAGAACTCTCTTTGTGTGAATCAGAGAACAACTGGTAGAGAGGCCATGTAGGGGGATCTACATGCAGGGCTTAGATTCTTGGCGCTGTGGAATTCAGCTCAGACCCTTTATTCTGATCCATGAGCACAGAGGACAGGGCTGAACTGACCCAAGTTCTCCCTTTCCCCTCACCGTTGAAATCCCCTCTCTGATGCTGCCTGTAGCCCCATTATCCTACCAAAGCAGGCAAACACAGGGAACTCGGAGTCAGATCAGAGCACCATGGAGCCTTCCATTTAGATTTCCACGCAGTTTCTTGCCCCCGGGGAAAGCAGCACAACAATGCTGAGATTCCCCTTCATCCAGCCATTGTAATTCCCTCCCCAGAATAGGCTGAAGCCCCAACCCCTACCAAAGCAGGCAAACACAGGGAACTTGGAACTTGGACTCAGATCAAGGCAACACGGAAGCCATTTAGACTTCCCATCCAAATTCTTGCCCATAGGGAAAGCTGCACAACTGAGCTGAGGTTCTGCCTTCTCCCCACCTTCCCAGTGCTTTCCTCGCTGCTTGTGATAAAACTAGAGCAGCTGCTTTCGACAGGTGACTGTGCACCATACATGCCCAGATCCCTTAAGTAGCCCCCATTCAGCAAAGGGAATTCTGGTTGGCTAAGGAGAGAGTGAACCCCTAGTGAGATAAGGCAATAGCCCGACTCCCAGCAGTCTGGCACGCAGTTTGCAGAAGCATTCCTACCAGCCTCCTAAAAAGAAAGCCCAGGGCTCTTTGACTCCAGGGAAAATGGTGCCTAGTTTGTCCCAAGCACACAGACAGCAATCTGCCTTAACAACCTCAATAAAAAAAGAGCAGGAGAAACAATGCAACGTCAGAGGAAGTCCAGAACCTAATGACATGCAGAGAAGAAGCAGATGTTGATCTAGAACAGAGAGAAATGCTGCTTGGAGTCATACAGGATAGGAGGGGAGCAATACAGAAAAGGGATGAAATGATAGAGGTGATAAAGTCCATACACCAAAGGGAAATACAAGAGTTAAGAGATGAGGTAACAGAAGAAAATGAAAAGTTAAATAGACATCACCAACAAACTAAAAGTGGAGAACCCTACCAGAGATCTTGAGGATAACCAGGCAGACTTCTTTAAACAAGAAAGACAGTCAAACCACATAATCAAAGAAGCTGAAGAAATTTAAGAATAATGTCCGATGCTGTGAAGAGGAGCAACATTGGAACAACTGGGTTACAGGAACAGGATACAATGAAGAAATCAACAGCAAAAATAGCGACAGAACTCCTAAAAGCAAACATCCTCAATTTAATGAATGAGAGTCAAGAAACCATCCAGAAAGCAGAAAGGACACTAATTAGACTGAACCCCAGGAAGAAATCAGCAAGGCATATAATAGTTATCCAAGTTTGAGGAAAAGGAGAAAAATCATATGAGCAGCTAGGCAATACAAGGAAGTCACCTATGAAATTACTCAGATAAGAATGTGCTTAGACCTATCAGCAGATACTAGGAAGAAGAGAGAGTGGAGTAACATCTTCTGAAAGTTGAAAGAAAGCAATGCCAACCCAAGAACTCTACCCAGTCAAACTATCTTTCAAGATAGACAGAGAAGTAAGAGTATTCTCAGAAAAGAAAAAACTCAAAGAATATGTTAAAAGAAACCCAACTCTACAAAATATGCTTGTTGACTCACTATGATCATAAGAAAAACATTCACTGAGCACAAATGGGAGACCATTACATAGAGTAACTCCACCCAGAAGTCAACACACTGAAAAAAGTGTGATAGGTAGGTTTATTGTGCCAAGATGGCCAATTGGAACATGTGGGGTTAATAAGGTCGTAGTTTGATTGGAGGGCAAAGATAAATGGCTTGACCAGCCCTGCCTCTCTCTCTTTTGCCCTCTGGTGATCAGACCAGCATGAGGCTCCTAGTTCTCTGCTTCAACTTGGGAGCTACACTACCTGTGGGACTGCCAACTTGTGGATTGTGTTGCTAGAGCTTGAGTTTTCTTTGAAACCTGCTTCACCATGCTGCTGGTGTATACATTGCTTGAATTTGGGACTGTCGGATCCTGTCATCTTGCTGACTGTTGGTGACCCACCCTGCTGTTTGCTGCCTGTGCCCGGACTGCCTGCATTGCCCTACAGAAAACTCAGCTGTCTGCTTTCTTGATCATTTAAAAAAAATCATTTTATTGGGGGCTCATACAACTCTTATCACAATCCATACATACTTCAATTGTATAAAGCACATTTGTACATTCGTTACCCTCATCATTCTCAAAACATTTGCTCTCCATGTAAGCCCCTGGAATCAGCTCCTCATTTTCCCCCCTCCTTCCCTACTCCCCCCTCCTTCATGAACCCTTGATAATTTATAAATTATTATTTTGTCATGTCTTACACTGTCTGACGTCTCTGCTTTCTTGATCTTTGACCCAGCAGCCTTCACGAGTTGAAGGATTTCCAGTATATTAACTGTTCCACGGAAATGAGTTAAACTGAGCCTGCTGTACTGCTGTGTGAACTAATTAGCTGTTATATTCCTTCAGGCTGTATCTATCTATACTTATATAATAATGTGTCCTGTTTTGTTTCTCTAGAGAAACCTGTCTAACACATAGAGCTCAAGGATAGCATTGTCTCAAAGTTGAAACAAAGGGCAAGAATGAACCCCTCTATAGACTTAGGAAACATAACCCATCAATCTATTGTCTACAAGAAACACATCTCAAGCTCACAGACAAAATCAGGTTGAGAATTAAAGGCCAGCAAAAAATATACCAAGCAAACAGCAATTCAAAAAAAGCAGGGTAAGGATGGACATACATAATGCTAAAGGGATCAGTAGACCAGAATCAGTGAGCATAATAAATATGTAGACACCCAGCGAGAGAGCTGCAAAATTCATCAATCAAATTCTTCACACATCTATATACAGGATAAGGGATGAAAAGGGGGATATTAAAACAGACATTAATGAAATTAAAAGGCTAATTACACAGTACTAAGAAGGTTTGTACTCCAATGAATTCACTAACTTGGAAGACATGCACAAATATTTGGAAAAACAATCCTTCCCGAGATTATACCAGATAGACATCAACGACCTCAACAGACCCATAGCAATAGAAGAAATATATAAGGTTGTAAAGGGTCTATCCAATGAAAAACAAAAAACAAGGCCAGACGCTTCACAGAAGAATTCTACTAAGTATTCAGGGAAGAACTGACACCAATCCTACACAAGCTCTTCCAGAGCATTGAAAAGGACAGCAAACTCCTAAACTCTTTCTATAAAAATGTTAGCATAACAATGTTACCTAAATTGGGCAAGGATCCCACAAAAATTGAGAATGACAGACTGATATCTCTTGTGATAGTTAAGGTTTTTTGTGCCAACCTGGCTGATAAACACATGCAGGAATAATTGAAGGGCAGAGAGATAAATGGCTCGGTGAGTCTCTCCTTTCTTGTTCTCTGGTCTCTTGTTCTCTGATGGTGAGACCAGTGTGTGGCTACCTTAGCCAGTTCCCTGCTCCAGCTGCCAAGGCTCACTTTCTGCAAGACACCCCTGAGGAGCAGCCACATGTACATACCCTGATGCAGCCCTAGTGCAGTAAAAGCCACGTGAGACACCCCTGCCAGTACCGAGATGCTTACAGGCTCACTGATTTGGCGTTCCTCCTGCAGTCAGGAGGACTTTGTTTTGGGAGTTTGAG